TCGTCATTCCGGTCTTGGAGGAGTTATACGTTATGTGACATTCTCCGTTAGGTCAGAGTTAAACAGGAGGTCCTCTTTCGCCTTCCATGCTTTTGCTGGTATATTCAATATTTGGAATCAGGAAGGAGTAATGGGCTTCACAAAGATCCGTCTTTGCGTTGCGTTGCTCAGGCGAGCGTTTTTCATTGTTCTAACGAACGAGCAAGAACGGCAGTTGAGAAGTTAGCGTTGGTGTCGATGATCCATGATGGTTAAATGGCAAGACAGCATAATGCGCGAGTCTATCTTTTCTGATAGATGACCTCTGTAAATGTAGGCATTACGAAATTGAGGTTAATGTTGTTCAAAGAGATAATTGAATGGAGACTTTTTAAACACTTGCTGTGATTCTAAGCATTTCATATGGTAACGCAGCAAACTTTGATCAGGAGGCCAGCATGCAGCCTAGATGTGCTAAGGACTGCTTCCGGACAGACATCGTCCCTTCTACGATGCCATAACCGGTACCTTATAACTTGAGTGCTGAAAAGTGCACAACAAGCAAAAAACATTTTCTAGTTAACAACGAATTGCACTAGCAAATGAAGAGCTCACTATTTCTGAAAAATGTGCCTTGGAAAACTGCGAGTCATCGGAAGCAAATTAGTCCAACCAGAAAGGCTGTCGAAAAATCGGCTTCCCTTCTAATACGATGCTGAAGATATCAAACTACTTCTAGTAAGGTACTGAAGAAAGATATCAAGTATTTGAATACGGGTCTAGCTTGCGGGTTATGGCGTATAAACTTAAGTAGACGCAATTGCCATCATCTGCTCGATGAACGCTTCGACCTGCTGCTCGACGTAATCAGGTGTCCTACTCGACTGTACTCTGAAGTGGTTTTGCTTATGCAAAACGCTCAAGATTATGATCTGATCGAACCGAGCTACAGAACAGCGCCATTTCACAGCCAGCGTCCCGTTAATGCAACAGAAACTATCTTTGGAGGTAAGCAGTGGAATAGTAGTTTAAGATTCGTTGTCAATGCTTGTTGTGAACAACGTGCAAGCAGATGTTGATTTGATGTCTCTTGAATAAGTTTTCTGTTTAACTTTTAGGATGATTAATTATATTGGGCTAAATTATTAACAAAAATTTAGAATTTGCGTCAACAGTTGTCTAAGTGTACCCACAGAATCTTTGTGGATCATTTTCGATTCGCTTGATTTCTTCCATTTCGCGGCTGTAGTCTTGCAGCTTGCATAGATTAATGAATCCTTCAGCTTACTGTCTTCGATGCCGCTGTTACGGTTACGAAGGAAGGTCTTGGGAACAGCCTCATTTTTACTACGCATAAAATTGCTGCTTACTGCCGTTTCGTGACGGTTCTCTTCTGCCGAAGTCGTTTTGCCCTCTTCAACGACTGACTCGCAAATCTGGCTTGAGTAATGACCCTGCAACAAAAGCCTAAGAGTCAATTTTCAACTATCGAACCAAATGGACGAAGGACAGTTGCAAGACAGGCGAAAAAGAATGGAGCATGAAATGGAAAGCCGCGACTCTGCTTTTCCTTCCGTTGAACAGGTTTCATCCTCTTTAAGTCTATACGTGGTCCTCAGTTGCCTGATTTATAGTTTACGCATCATCTGTAGCGCTAATCGCTTATTGAAAGTCCGTTTCTGAGCAAACGAAAAGAAAAAACTCGAAAGTTTGGCAAGCAGGTCAGAAATCACTTCAAAATAATTCTGATATCATTCAAGGGGCCGTAGTTTAAACCTGAATGATTTTTTGCTATTGCGCTGTAAAACTCATAACAAAACGACAGCGGCCAACGTCAGTTCTTATTCAGAACGATGACGACATAACATTTACCTTATTAGTCATGAGAAAACTTCGTTAGTACGCGACCAAGTCAATAAATAGCTGCGAATCAAGCTCAGCAGCCCCCACCCCTCTCCTCACTGAGTCACTTGCGAAATAAGTGATCAGCTCTTTGGCGAAATTGCCTAG